TCCAAAACGTGTTACTGCTTTTACTTAAGTAACAATAATACCCAAGAGGGTAGTGCCCTGATCTTTAGTTAACAATAGTTTCTATTTATGAAGCACTCCTGAGAGGCCACAAACATTTTTTCTCCTGCAGTTAAATCTTTGAGACAAATATATGAGCCAGTAACTACTAGCCCTGTTTTATGGTGGAGGACACTGGAGCTTGGACGCCAAGTGACATCAAGGGTCACACGTGAGACAGAGAAGGAATAAAAAGGAGGGTCGTGTTGATAACTCAGTCAACACTCTTAAAGATTCTACCACTGGCTGCCTCCTGCGAGATTTCTTGGGACCCTCACATATTGCACCGTCTATCTAGACTCTCTTTTCATCAACCAATATTGCGCGTTGGAGACAAAGGCATATAAAGTGAGAACTCTGTGTTTACAATGGTTGGTGATCACTATCTACATGGATACAAAGCTTAGTACTGTTTTGTAAGCACGCTCGCTGGAGTATGCACCTCCAGCATGCTCCAAAGTAGGGTGGGAAGTTATGGAAGAGAACCCAAACCTGGTGATGTCAAGGTGTATTTAGTCTTTGCTTAGATGTGCTTCCAAAACATTAGTGGCAAAGCCAAAAATCATCTAACGTTATTTCTTTATTTATACAGTGCTTTTATGTACACAAGCATACAACCATTTCTTATTAAGAAGCATTAAAAATAATTTGGGACATGTTCCTAGATCCTTTCATCCAAGGACATGAAAGTACTTTACAGACACACCCAGCATTTCTGCTAACTAATCTCGATTGGCCCATTTCAGAGATGGGTACAACCAAAATACAAAACCTGGGAATTTCAACTCATTATTTTCTAAAGTCATGAATCTAGTAGCCACAGGGAAGCTTCAAATAGAGATTGAATGTGCTAAAAATTTCCTTCCATTTTGCCTGAACAGGGAGATCTTTGAAAAAAAATTTTATGGACACAATATTGAAGGGGATTAAGAGGTGAGAGATGGGGGGGGGTAACAGATGGTAAATGGATGTAATGCGCTGAACACTCCATAAGATGTATAAATATGAAATCACTGCATTGTATATCCGAATCTAATGTAATATTGTAGGCAGTTATGCTTCAACTAAAAAAAAAAAAGGAAAAAGAAAAAAGAAACACATAGAAGTATTAGAGATAGGAGAGCTATTAAAGATTTTTTAATTGTGGTAAAAATACACAAAACTCAAAATTTACTATCTTACATCATTTTTAAGTGAGTTCACGTGTAGGTATCGCCACCATCCAGCTCCAGAACACTTTTTATTATTCCAATCTGAAACTCTGTACCCATTACACACTAGCTATCCAACCCCCCCGCCTCTAGCCACTCACTGGGGACAATCATTCTACTTCCTATCTCAATGAAACTGAATACTTGGGTAGCTCATACTAGTGGAATCATACAGTATTTGTCCTTTTGTGAGTGGCTTACTTCACCTAACAATGTCCACAAGATTCCTCTATGCTGGAGCTCATGTCACAATTTTCTTCCCTGTTAAGGCTAAATAACAGAACATTGTGCAAACAGACCACACTTTGTTTACCCACTCATCTACCTAAGGACATTCTGGCTCTTGAGAATAGTATTGTGAGTATCTATTAGCATTTCTGCTTTCAATTATTTTGGGTATACATCCAGAACTGCAAAAAGGATATAATTCTATAATGATCATTCTTCTGTGATTCTATTTTTGTTTGCAAAGACTCCATTCTGTTTTCCTCCGTGGCTGCACTTTACACTCCCTCAAGCTGTGAAAAGGGGTTCAGATTTTTCCACAATCTTACCAGCACTTGGGTGTTTTTTGTTGTTTGCTTTGCTTTGGATTTTTAAAGTAATCTCTATACCCAGTGTGGGACTCAAACTCACGACTCAAGAGCCACATGTTCAACTGAGCCAGCTAGGTTCCCCGGAGTTTTCCGGTTTTATTGAGAATAGTGACTCTCGTGGGGGTGAGGGGGTTATCTCTTTGTGGTTGTGAAAGAAGTTATCTTGATTTTGATGATGAAATCACTTAGAATAATTTCAATTATTCCAGAGGCCAGTGTTAGGTACCCACAGCTATACTCAACCTTAAGATACAACTCCATACTTTCTTTCCATTTGGGTGCCATATTCTACATGCATTCTAATAAATAGGCATCTATGAGCTCTTCATATCGACATGTCAGGAAACACATTTACATGTCTTTTTTGTGTCTTATTCCCTATGTTCCCTATGTGTTTTTTAAAAAAATTTTTAAGATTTTATTTATTTATTCATGAGAGAGGCAGAGACACAGGCAGAGGGAGAAGCAGGCTCCATGCAGTCCCGACGTGGGACTCGATCCCGGGTCTCCAGGATCATGCCCTGAGCTGAAGATGGCGCTAAACTGCTGAGCCACCCAGGCTGCACTCCCTATGTTTTTCATCTCAAAACTCTGTGTGCGTGTGAGAGAGAGTTTCTCAGCTTTCCTTCATAGGCAGATAACTGGAGAGTATAACAAAACTCCAAATTAAAAGAAAAAACAAAAGACAACAAAAGAAAAATCAGCAACGCCTGGAGCTGAGTATGTGTGAGTCCCAAATAAGAGGGTAGAATGGAAGACCAGACCCCAAGGTTGCAGACCTCAGACCAGTGGGCACAGGGTCTATGCTACCCCTTGGCTATAAAACTGGAGGACACTATTTGTTTAATAAGTACTTCCTGTATTTTTACTGCGACTCAATGAGTGAGCCACAAGGAATGACAGGAGCTTATACTGTGCATAATACAATCTCTAGAATGCTTCCTGAAAACCACACTTCTGTAAAGAAGCAGAATAAGAAAAATGAAGGACGGCCTCCTCCCATCAGAGCAGGCAGGTGTTGGCGCTACAAGAAACACCCCGCATGCACTAACCCTGCCATCAGAAGGGTCCGGGAGATGGAATTATGTGCTGTCTTATGAGGGAGAGAAACCTCAGGTCCAGAGAGATGGCACTCCTTATCTTGAGTTCTTCTCACTATGCTCTACTGCCACCTGGTCACAATCATTTACTAATGGCTAGATTCTTTTTTTTTTATTTTATAAATTAATTTTTATTGGTGTTCAATTTACCAACATACAGAATAACACCCAGTGCTCATCCCGTCAAGTGTCCCCCTCAGTGCCCGTCACCCATTCACCCCACCCCCCGCCCTCCTCCCCTTCCACCACCCCTAGTTCATTTCCCAGAGTTACGAGTCTTTATGTTCTGTGTCCCTCTCTGATATTTCCCACACATTTCTTCTCCCTTCCCTTATATTCCCTTTCACTATTATTCATATTCCCCAAATGAATGAGAACATATACTGTTTGTCTTTCTCCGATTGACTTACTTCACTCAGCATAATACCCTCCAGTTCCATCCACGTTGAAGCAAATGGTGGGTATTTATCGTTTCTAATGGCTGAGGAATATTCCATTGTATACATAAACCACAGCTTCTTTATCCATTCATCTTTCGATGGACACCGAGGCTCCTCCACAGTTTGGCTATTGTGGACATGGCTGCTAGAAACATCGGGGTGCAGGTGTCCCGGCGTTTCATTGCATCTGAATCTTTGGGGTAAATCCCTAACAGTGCAATTGCTGGGTCGTAGGGCAGGTCTATTTTTAATTCTTTGAGGAACTTCCACACAGTTTTCCAGAGTGGCTGCACCAGTTCACATTCCCACCAACAGTGTAAGAGGGTTCCCTTTTCTCCACATCCTCTCCAACATTTGTGGTTTCCTGCCTTGTTAATTTTCCCCATTCTCACTGGTGTGAGGTGGTATCTCATTGTGGTTTTGATTTGTATTTCCCTGATGGCAAGTGATGCAGAGCATTTTCTCATGTGCATGTTGGCCATGTCTATGTCTTCCTCTGTGAGATTTCTCTTCATGTCTTTTGCCCATTTCATGATTGGATTGTTTGTTTCTTTGCTGTTGAGTTTAATTAGTTCTTTATAGATTTTGGAAACTAGCCCTTTATCTGATATGTTATTTGCAAATATCTTCTCCCATTCTGTAGGTTGTCTTTGAGTTTTGTTGACTGTATCCTTTGCTGTGCAAAAGCTTCTTATCTTGATGAAGTCCCAATAGTTCATTTTTGCTTTTGTTTCTTTTGCTTTCGTGAATGTAGCTTGCAAGAAGTTACTGTGGCCGAGTTCAAAAAGGGTGTTGCCTGTGTTCTCCTCTAGGATTTTGATGGAATCTTGTCTCACATTTAGATCTTTCATCCATTTTGAGTTTATCTTTGTGTATGGTGCAAGAGAGTGGTCTAGTTTCATTCTTCTGCATGTGGATGTCCAATTTTCCCAGCACCATTTATTGAAGAGACTGTCTTTCTTCCAGTGGATCGTCTTTCCTCCTTTATCGAATATTAGTTGACCATAAAGTTCAGGGTCCACTTCTGGGTTCTCTATTCTGTTCCATTGATCTATGTGTCTGTTTTTGTGTAATGGCTAGATTCTAAGTCTCTCCAAATAGCTATGTAAACACTAATGCTCAAAGCCCATCCATTTCATGGAAAGCCCTCCCTAGAGACAATTACATTTGAAGAGTTAGTTTTATTTCCTACAACAAAATTCTACCACTAAAACATGTAAAACCCATGTTTCGCTACAGAACCCTCTCAAATGCTAAATAAAACATTTATCATTTTATTTTCAGAATTATGTGATTATCAGCGGATAAAACTGCGGTACCAGGGAAGACTGAGTCCAGAAATTTCTCTGGGTAAGTTTTGAAATCTCTCTCTCTCTCTCTCTCTCTCTCTCTCTCTCTCACACACACACACACACACACACACACACACACACACAAAAGACCTGGTATCTGATGAAAATATTTGCTGCTAAAAATATACCCTATTGGGGTGAAAGGATGAACCCCTCATTTTTCTTTTAAAAAACCAAGTAAAATTACAATGAAGCTTATGTTCCCCTATCAAAAGAACATGTGAGAATGCCCTGACTTACATACCTGGGGTATGATGGACATTTTCTTCCTTAAATCATGAAGTCCAATTTCTGTTGTCAAGATCCTGTCAATCCAAATTTTACCTTCTGGTTCTGACAATCTAAAAAGGGCCGCGATGAGGGAACTCTTTCCAGCCCCTGTTCTTCCCACGATGCCAACCTGTAAAGAGATCCAGGAGGGATTAAGAGTAACAATATGCAAAATACCTAGGAGAAGCACACTGGTTGGTGAAGACACATTAATTCTTTTTTTTTAAGATTTTATTTATTTATTCATCGAGAGACACACAGCGAGAGGCAGAGACATAGGCAGAGGGAAAAGCAGACTCCCTAAGAGTAGCCCAAAGCGGGACTCCTTCCTGTGACTGCAGGATCATGACCTGAGCCAAAAGCAGATGCTCAACCACTGTGCCACCCAGGCATCCCCATAAAGGAAATTCTATATTGAATGTGATCTAAAAAGAGTTTCTGAACTTTGCCACTATTGACATTTTAGGCTAGACAATTCTTTGTTGTAGAGAGCTGCCCTGTACATTCATTGCAAAATGTTTATCACTATCCCACCCTCTGCCTACCATATACCAGAAGCACCCCCCAAACTGTAGCAACCAGAAATGTCAGACAGTGACAAATTCCTTGAGAGTCCCTTGAGGGGGGATTGAGGCAGGAAGAGGGGTCACCATCCTCGGGTGAGATCCAATGGTCTATAGAAAAGTAAAAAATTATACAATCAGCCCGGTGGCAGTGAAAACCCAGCAATCTCCTCAGCCACTGATAAGTCACTTTTTAAATTAGGTTTATTCCTTCTGTTTGGGTATTTAAACTTTGTGGATTTCTTAGATAATAGTATAGTGATAAACAAGTCAGAAGCGTTATACATAAACAAGTAATCATTTTCTCACAATTCTACCACAGGAGAGGGATTATTCTTTGGTAGAACAAGCACATCATTTCTGGCTATTAAATACCTGGTCACATTCTATCTCGAAAGGAAATATCCTAAAATTTTATTTTATTTTTTTTTAAATATTTTATTTACTTATGAGAGACACAGAGAGACAGGCAGAGACACAGAGGGAGAAGCAAGTTCCTCGCAAAGAGCCCAATGTGGGACTAGATCCCTGGACTTGGGATCAGATCCTGAGGTGAATGCAGACGCTCAACAGATGAGCCACCCAGGTGTCCCTTAAAATTTTTAAATGTTAAGTCTCAGTGTCTTAAAAAAGAGTAGCCAGTAGTTGAAATACCCTTAATGAGATCATCATCAACAACAACAAAAACACAAATATTATTTGCTATTTATATGGGGCCTTTCATCTCCGCAGTTCAAAAGGCATTTTACAAAGTAATTAATATGCACAATTACCCCCTTGGGAAAGATACACGTCCAGTATCAGTCTGTTTATTAGAACCAGAGTAGAGAGAAATTAAATGCACTAACAATAGGATCAAAGCATCAATATAAAGCAGGAAAAATGCTAGTCAGGAATGAAACTGTACTGTACAAAATAGGTTTTTAGCTACATGCATTTAAACCTGTATACAGAAACTGCTCCCCCCAACCCCCACCCCGTGTGCCCTTCTGCTTAAAGACCAAAGAGCTTGCCCAACACCCAACTACAAATTTGCTGGTGGGAGCTTCCCAAGATATATCACCTCATCTAGTTATCCGGAACCAAAGAAGGGCTTAAGACATGTTTTCAACCATTTGTAAATTCATTCAGCAAATTTTTCAACAGCATTCAACAAAAGAGAACTTTCTGAGCACTGATTCTATGCTCAGAACTTGACAGATTATCTCATTTGAACACTTCCAAAGTTTTAAAGCTTACCCTATATAATTATTGACAGCATTTTTAAAAATAGCCTAATTTTATAAATGTAAGGAAAAGTGGCTTTGGCTAATTTTATAATCTTTTTTTTTTAGAGAGATTTTATTTATTTATCAGAGAGAGAGAGAGTGAGAGAGTAAGAGCAATCACATACAAGAAGGCAGAGCAGTAGGTAGAGGGAGAGTGAGAAGCAGGCTCCCCAGGACCTGGGATCATGACCTGAGCTGAAGGCAGACACTTACCAGACTGAGCCACCCAGGCACCCCTAATTTTATAATCTTTACAGCCATTTTATACCTTATGGTAAACTTTAATTTATACTTCACAGATGGTCATGTTCTCAGCATGGGTAGGTCCTATCACATACATATACATGACTCATGTGTTTCTCTGTGTATCTTGAGGTGCGCTCAAATGTAAATTAACAATATGACGATACAGGCAAGACTTGTGTCTCTGTGAATGTGTGGATGTTTCTGTGCTATCACCCCAACTGCAATTGATTCATGTGGTTTCTGACAACCACATCAATACGTTAGATAGTTGTATCTGGATCTCTCTTCAGAGATCAACCTCAACACAATTAACACCGACTTTTCCACTCAGAAGAGCTGCTTTTTCCAACTTCTCCATTGTCATCGCCTGACTTTTTCCCTAGGCTCATGCGCTCAACATGTTCACCTCAAGTCCAGCCTTTTCTGCAGGCCGGCATGGCACCAAACCCTAAAGATTCTTCCTCCACAATGTTTGCGGACTCAGTCTGAGTCACCTGAGTGCAAGGCTACATGACCTTTTGAAACACAAAACCAAGTTTCCTTAATCATAATCAGTGCAAATCAATCTAAAAAGTCAATAAATACTAGTCATAACCTCAGCATCATGATTTAAAATGATCCTTCAGAGGATATGTTTTCTTTCTGGATTATGTATATGTGTGTGTTCTTAAAAATACAAGCTTAAAGAAAATGAGATTAATATGAACCTATTGTAGTAAACAGTTTTCACTTAACAGTTCAAGATAATATTTTAAGGGCCGGATGGTATTAGAGTATAGGTGATCACTTATTTAACAAACCCCCATTTGTGAATATTTAGGGTGATTCCAATATTCTATTATAAAAAACTGAATTAAATATCCTTGAAGCTAAAACTTCGCAAACTCCTCTAATTACTCAAAATAAATTATTAGATGTGGAATTGCTGAGAAACAGGTATAAACATTTTCAAAGGAGGCTGTTAAGTACTGCCAAACTACCCCCCAGAAATAGGATACCAATTTTGACTCCCAACTATTTCCCTGAACAACCTGGGCATTAGCACTTGTATTATTTTTTTTAATTTTTATGTATTTATTTTTTGAAGAGCAAGAGCAATCAAGAATGAGCACTGGGGGAAAAAAAAAGAATGAGCACTGGGGGGAAGGGGTAGACAAAGAGAGAATCATAAGCAAGCTCCACATCCAGCAAAGAGCCTCCATCTTAGAAACCTGAGATAATGACCTAACCCAAAACCAAAAGTTGGACGCTTAGCCAACTGAGCCACCCAATCACCCCTATAGCTTTGTTTTACTCAACATCAGTTTGATTCCAAACATTGGATTCACTTTCCCCATTACATCTTGCTAGGAGTACACAATAGCTACTGGCTTCCTACTTCCCACTTCTTCCCACCATAGTCCCAAGTGCTGACTTCTCAGACTGATCATCTGTAGGATAGCTCTGTTACTTTCAGACTGTCCCAGGAAGCCCCACCTAAGAAAATGTCCCAATTGACTCTCCATCCTTTATTGCTGGAAGTTAGCTTCCCTAGGATAACAAGGAAGTGGTAAGGATTACAGAAGCAAGCATGAGCTACATAACCTGGTCATTCACTTCCCCAAATGCTCTGTGGGTGCCTGATCCTTCATTCACTGAATCAAAGCATTGTGTCTTTACCGATGCTGATCCTACCACCAGGAATGCTCTTCCCAAGCATTTCCACGTGCTGAGATCCTACACTCATTGCACCATGTCTATCTCAAATGCCAAATTCCTTGTATATGATCATCTTGTTCCCACACATGGGCTTCTCCCACCAAGTAGAGGTACATTCATCATCATTTTCTAAACTTTCGTAAAAATTGTGACCACCTGCTACCTTTTCAGTAGCCAATTTTATACAACTTTCCTTGTTCTTCTGGACTGCAGGATCTGTAAGAGGTTCACCTTTCTTTTATATTTATTACATGTAGTGTCCTGTGTCAAACAGGCATTCTGTACAGAATTGAGACTTTAAGTGATGACGGACAAATTCATGGAAAATTAATTGCCAGGCTGTTGAGGTATAAGCTGTGTAGAGAACAGACATGGCAAACGGATACTATAATCATAAATAAAAATGCAAAAAAAAAAAAATACAAATGCAAATGGCAGACAACAACTTCTCCAGTGGAAGTGGTTATGGCCATGTCAAACCCCAAAATAGTGACATCTACTATTGTTGGAGCATCTGCTTGGCACCAGTAATGGTCCTGGGGGTCACATCTTGTTGAAACTGTACAACTCTCGAGGACCTATTACTTTCTTCTATCAAAAGATCAGAGGGAGGCTTAATAAGACAAATTAGCCTGCTTGAAATAACAGAGCCAGCAAGGGGCAGGTTGGTACTCAAAGCCATGTCTACTTGCCCCTTGTACATTCTGCCGATGGCCTCCTTATGCATGAATTACCGGATAGACTTATTACGTCCCTCTGGCTGGCTAGAAGAAAGTGGGGACAGGTGTGGTGGCTATCAAGGAACTGGCCTATTCTACAAATGCTACTGCCTGACATTTAAAGCAGGATGTGAAAAAATAAGAAAGAAAAGAAAAAAAGAAGAGAAAAGCAAGCAAGCAAGCAAGCATGATGTGGATTTGGGGGAGAATAACAAGATAGGTAGAACAAAAGAGCCAACATCTCTGAGCAAAAAGGATACCCATGTTCTGGTGGGTGCATAGAGACAGAGTGAAGAGAGAACCTGAAGCTAACAGAGCCACAAGGTAACAGGCCACACAGACCTACTGCCCTGCTTGGGGCAGTGAGACTCATTGTTCATCCCCTAAAGTGCTAAAAGGGCCTCGAATTTATTGCTGTGCTTGGCATTTTCAGATTCCACACCCCAGCAGGGTCCAGTCTGCTACAATACCAAAAGCCCCTGTGAGAAGGGGGGTGGTGGTGGTGGTGATGCATATAGCAGAAGGAACGCTCTATCAGTGATATGGACAGTGCATAAACTGGAGTCATATAGAATGAAATTAGACTATTAAATTAATAACTTGCAAAATATAGAAGTAAATCTATAGGGTGGTGACAGAGAAATTTTGAGTGTCATGGTCAGTCATAAGGGTTGGGATCACTCATGAGCCCAATTTTAAATTATCAGAGGATATTTCTTAGAAATCATGAGTGACAATCATCCAAAACTGCCTATGTGACAGAGAGGATTTTATCAGGGTGGGTGGGGGGCATGTTCAAAGGCAATACAGACACAAGAGGACAGGGTGGGCTTAAGAGTCAGCATTTCTGAGAAGCTCACAGTCTGGGCAGTGAGGAATAAAGAAGTCAGGGGAAGTGAGAAAGGGGAGGGGTTTCTGAGAAGATATTATGTAAAAAAGTAGAAAATGTAGGAAACTAATACTTTTGCACATTATACCAAGGTCTAGTACACATCTGTAAAAATGTATTATCCAAGTAATAGCTCTGAGCAAGGAAAAAAAAAAAAACCAAATAAACCAAAATCAATCTACCTCTAGACTTGGAAAATGCTTTAAAATGGCCCAGTACTCTCTAAAATGATCAAATCAACCACAAAATCATCTAAATGAAAAATGTAGCTAGTGTTTAGAATCTAACTAGGAAGACTAGTTTATCTTTATCTCATTTTGGTTTTTTATTTTGTACTTATTAATTCTTCCATGAATTAGAAACCTGCTTAAAACCTATTACACTTTCCTCCTCTTAGAACTTTGAGGAATCAGGACAGCAGAGGAAAAAGAAGGAAGAGAATGAAGGACCGCTTCTGCTGTGTTGGTGCATTTCCCCATCAGGAGTCTGGGACAGTCTACCAGGATCATATGCAAACCCGAAGGATGGGGGCAGAGGTGTCTGCAAATAACAGGCAGGGGGTGGGTGCAGAGGAGATAAAACCTGGGATCGACACAAGCAGTCAAGTCACTGCATGATTCCAGAGCCTGGATATAATCGCTAGTTACTAAACAGAGCAGAAGGGGACACTGTCAGTTGACGAAGACACAAATTCCAAGTTACTGTTGTTATTCTAACTATCTCCAAATTCATTTCTCTGCTAACATTGTGGAATTGCAGATAATCCTATGTTTTCAGGGGATTTAAGATCGAATATTACAAACCTGCTACATTTCTAAATCGTACTACACGGTTTCGTAATTCACAGCGTACAGCCTCACGGGAAATTTAAGATGTGCACAAATTAAGAGCATGATGTCTAGAATGTGCGGTCAGATGGACACATGGTCTGCAAGTAAACAAACATCCCGGACAGTGCTGTTGGGGACAGAACCTCATCAGGAGCTACGATTAACAACCTCTCGACGGGTAACTACAATAACTTCTTCCAATAACTACACTAGAGGCCGGAAATGGTATCAGTAGCCAGCATTTGTCACGTGACTTACAAAGTGACTTCCTGGCTTTCATCTGGGAATCACATTGAACAATTATTCCTTTGTGTCACAAGGGAATACTCATTAAATTATGGCTACAATCCCCAAAAGGGGTCGGTTTTAGAAAAGGAAGGAATAGGTCATAAAGTATTTGACACAATTCAGTAACGGGCTGTTTACAAGAGCTGCCTGGGATGCACGTATGTTTTTGCGACTGATTTGCTCACGTCTGGGTATCACTCATTCACTATTCCAGCCCACAGGCCCTCAGCACCCATGACGTACTCTAAAGAATGCTATTTTCAGGGGAACATAGATGAAAACGAGCAGCCCCAGGGTACTGTGATACACAGAACCCTAATTACAAAGCTGGCTGCAAGTGCTACTTTTTTTTAAATTTTAACTTTTAATTTTCTAATAGTGGTAAAAAATGCATATAACCTAAAAGTGACCAATCTATCCATTTCGTAGTTGTATAATTTAATGGTGTTATGTACACTCACACTGTTGTGCACTCAGTCTCCAGAATTCTCCTTGCCTTGAAAGACTCAAAACTCTGGCTCCACTAAACACTAAATCCTCATTCACCTCACCTCCTGGCACCTGGCAATCATCATTTTACTATTTGTCTCTATTGACCCGAGGAGGTCAGAAATCTCACGTAAATGGAATCATACAGTATTTGTCCTGTTTTGTCCTCAAGCTTATTTCATTTACCATAATGTCCTTCAGCAGTTTTTTCCATGTGTCAGAATTTGCTTCCCTCTGGGTAATATTCCATTGTATGGGCATATACATTTACCCAGCCATAAACTGATGAACAACTTGGGTTGCTTCCACCTTTGGCATTCATAACGCTACTAGGAACATAGGCATACTACAAATGCTGTCTTAAGAAAATATGTAAGATGTTATGGAAGAATTAAGAATCTCCCAGAGGCAGATGGAGAGTGGACTAAAAAATGCAGACTTCCACCAGCCAGATAACAGAAGGGATGGGCCTCTTGAGGCAGAGGGGCTATGTGGCCATGATGGGAACGGGACAGGGAGGAGAGGATATTTTGGAAGAAGCTACCCAATACCCACATACGGGTTTGTACAACGGCACCTGGGTGGATCAGTTAGTTAAGCATCAGCCTTGGGCTCAGGTCATGATTTCAGGGTTCTGGGTTTCAGCCCAGAGTCGGGCTATATGCATCTCTGCCTCAGCCACTGCCCATGCTCCCTTTCTCACTTTCTCTCTCTCAAATAATTTTTTTAAAAAAATCATTAAGAAATCGAGGTTAGAGAGGTAAGCAGGGAAAGAACTTCCTACAGTCTTAACTGTCCTGGTTTCACGACCCTGGTCTGGGTTGAGGGACCCAAGCTGGTGGATTTAGACAGTGGCAAGTCCAGGTCGTAAACCTCTCAGTGGTCTCCTCCATGTGTCATCCCCTGACCCCTTGGGTTTCCTCTCATCAATTTTGACCGAGTCTCTGGGCTCCTCACTGTCTCCCGAGCCCTCACTGGATCAGAGATTCCACGCTCTTCTCTGGTGGCTGAGAGGTGGCCATGCTGCTCCAGAGTTGGTTGACTTGGGACCTTGCTATGGTTCTACTAGCAGCACACACAGACTAGAAGCTATCAGGATGCCCCAGAAAGACCAGATCTGTATTTCAAAACAAAACAGTCTATGGGAGAGAGGACAGGGGAATATGCTTTACAGGAGGGCAAATCTATGGAAAGGGATGGTGACAGAAGGCTGTAAATAGAGGATTCCATGGGGAAGAAAACAAGGATTTGAGAAATACACAGAAATAAGAATAGTTAGGAACTAGATATCACAACGTTAGTGATGAGGAGCTAGGGCTGACTTCTAATTCTCAGGCATGAATAATTAGTGTCCTGGGTCAGCTGACCAACCACGAGGGAGCTCACAACACGGGGAAAGTAATGTTGGCATCGCTACTGCATGGTCAGTTTCCAAGAAAGACTAACGAACAAGATCACCTGATCTCATTTATATCCACACAAGGTGCCCCCTGACCCATTCACCAAAAAGCCAACAAGCAGATGCAGTGTTAAATCTTTTGCCGAAATTTTGAGGCAGCAAAATGCTTTGAACAAACCTTTTCCCTTGATTTAATGAGTGCGGTCAGGTGCTTCAATACCAGAGGTCCATCTAAACTATATGTGAAGTTCACATTATCAAAGACAATCGTGCCTTCCTGGGGCCAGGTGGGTGGAGGTCGTTTCTGGTATTCCCAGGGGGCTTCTTTCTCAAGGTCTGTATATTCCATCACTCGTTCCACTGAAATCATCTGAAAGACATAGGACATATCATGGATTAGGAATGGAGGCTCTCACAGGTGTAAAGAGATGATCAATGAAATGTTCTTACTAGCTGGGTAATGACATGTCAGGTCTCAATATTCCCAAAGGACAGGAGAAGTATGATGAGGACTTGAGGATTTACGACTCTGTTTGCAGTCCTAGAACATTTTCCCTATACCTACTTCTGTCAGCGTTACATTTAAACTAAAAGAATTACTGTTAGAAATTTTTAGAGAATGAGAGATTTTCTATTTATATTTTTTCCCCACTTTTCACACCTAAAAAGAAAAAGAAGGGTTTTGTCAAAGAAAGGAATGCTTGTGACCAACAATCCAGAATACAGAAGAGTTAACCATTTTAAGGGAGATGAACTGGATAAAGAATCCAATCTCATTTATTTTATTGTTTTCTCCTAAAGATTTATTTATTTATTCATGAGAAAGAGGCAGAGACACAGGGAGAGGAAGAAGCAGGCCTTCTGCAAGGAGCCTAATGTGGGACTCGATCCCAGATGCTGGGATCACGCCCTGAGCCAAAGGCAGATGCTCAACCACTGAGCCACTCAGGCATTTCTCCAATCTCATTTTAGTGATTAGTCACTTTCTACTCTATTAGAAGAGCATGCTGGGAAGATTTTTTTTTCCCCCACAGTTTTTAAGAGAAGGTCCAAATCTCCCAAGAAGAGATCATTTACATACTGGCTAAGGTCTCCTAAAAAACCATCCCAATACCTTTGACTAACCCATTTCAAGAGGGAACTTTTCTACCAGAAAGGAGTGTCATCAGCAAATTCAGCTGCTCTGACACATTAAAGAAGACATGTTAACTTGGCGGGGGAGGAGAGGGGGCACAAGGGGAGACATCTATTAAACAACCTCAAAAACACTGAATTCTTCTTTTATCAGGAATGAGGAATTACCCATTAAGACACAAAAATAAACAGGCCTCTAAGAAATTAGCTTCTATCCTCTCCAGGATTTCAGAACGTCCCTCCTACAGAGAGAGACATTTATTACATTTGAAGACACTGTGTGGTGAATATAAAACCTGCTGACATAGCACACAGAAGACTGAGAAAAAGATGTATCTATTTTATTTTACGTTAACCTTAAACAGATGGAAGAAGATCTAAAAAACTTGGTTAGCTGCGATGTAAAAATAACAGTTTTAATATTTTACATAAGAAGTGCTTTTATGCCATTTAACAGCAGGGAGACTTGAAAAGGCTCAGAACGTTAAGATAAACATTACCATATTCTCCACTTCGGCACTTTGCCTGACGGACCACTGGAACATCCCCATGAGCGTGAGGGCGTAGGACAGTGCCAGGCCAACCTGCCCGGCATCCACAGCTAACATTGGAAGAGGGAAAATATGGTTAGTCCCATTCTTAACCCCAAGCACAGGTCCTTTTCTCACTTTACATAATATTTAAATACTTTGGATATAATAATAGCAACAATTACACCCTTATTATCTGATGATTGAGACCATAATATAATAGAAAAATCACTATCAATTCAGAAGGACTATTAAATGAGCTTAGTAATCCCAACAGATTGACACACACCTGACAGTATTACACAGGTGAGAAAAAATGTCATCACTGAGACTCCCAGCATTATGGTTCCAAGAACCCCACTGCCTAATTTCACTTTCCATGGCCAAAGCAACCATGGCTGTAAACAACTAAAAAAAAGGCAATGAGTTCTAAGAGCCACTGCTTTTGAATCTAATCTACTATAGTCACTGTTCCATTATTAAATATTGTGATTCAGTGTTGTTACGAAGGAAAAGGTAGGGAGTGTGAATTCATGCCACACACACCAACACCTGCTCATGTGGTACTCACCTGGCAAGACAGCATTCTTTCCACCTGTCTATCTTTCTCAACCAATGTACCAGGCATGTATTACCAAGAGATCTGAGTGGCCCTAAAGTTAAAACCTAAAGCCCTAAACTGGACAAAAAGCTTAACAGAAAACTCATTTCTCTCCTCACAACTACGAGATGCTACACCAGGAATATACAGAAAGTTAGCTGCCTACATGGGCATGATGCTTGATTTATTCAGATAATAGGAACTCTCGGGATTCAAGTCACTGCTCTTCATAGACCACACTGCAGAATCAAACCCAACCTGACACCCAACAAATGCTTTAATGCAATACATTAGAACATAAGAGTATATGGCATTAAACAAGGTGGCAAGATTTTAATTTAATAACTGTAAACGCAGCTATAAATTGTAATCATACCACAAATAGTTATTCACATCTGTACTTACTTTTTGCCAGAATCAGAGACCCAAAGGCAACAACAATGACAAACATGGCACAGATGGCATCCAGACGCACAGCGAACCATCGGGACGTAGTCAGAAACAAGAACCATGCCTCTGGATTTGTGAAACATGATGAGAAAAATGAAAAACTCAGAAAACCATGTTAACTACTTTGCATGGTGGACAGCATTTTGCTTAATTGAGCTACAGGAGATTCCTACACAATATGGACAGGAAGGTTGCATACCTAAGGAACCTGAAGGTTCCAAAAAGCTAAGTTTGGACACAAGACAATATATGGTATGAGTAGGCACTGGCACAGTGGCTTTGTGGGAAGCATGCATTGAAAAATTCAACCCAGAAGTTATAGATAGAAATAGGATAATTTAAAAACATGGGAAAATGCGCTCATTAGTTCATTTCTTACAGTGCCAGACCTCAACATGAAGCTTGTCCTCACATGTGGTTTACTGTTCCAAGTTCTCTAATAACATAAAGCACAGGTCCCACTTTCTTTCCAGCACCTTCCATACTTACTAGAGGGCCCTACAATCAGTGTTTATTCTGTAGGATCCAGTATCTCAAGGATCACCTTTCTAAAAGTATCAACATGTAGCTTTCAAAATGCCATCTTATCTTCAAAATATGATAAAGATGGAATAGATGGGAAAGGATTTTATAAACTTAGCAGAAACTGCAATTTCTACATAGCAAAAAAGCCCTTACTGAAAGAATAATACATATCAAAGGAGTAGCGGATCTGATCCTCAGGAAACGGACTTCCTCAGCAATTTCTGTCACCTTGCATGCCATGCAAAAAAGAATTGGCAAATGACAGCCCGTGCGCCAAGAATGGCCCACCACCTGTTTTCATAAGTAAAGTTGTATTTGAATACAGACTTGGCCATTTGCAGATGTACTATCTTTGCCTGTGTTCCTTTTGTAACAGCAACACTAAAGAGCTGTGATAGATAATATGGTACACAAAGCCTAAAACATTTTCAAAAAAAAGTTCACTGACCCATGCCCAAAAAGAACAGAGAGCTCCCGGGCCTTGTTAATGGAAGGACCAGGCAAGCCACGGGGCGGGGGGGATGCTGTGACTGGGGAATGGCAAATAGCAAGCACACAGGAGACTCTGTGAGAGCAGCCATGGCCTAGGGGAGGGGATGCTAAGGAAGGGTATAGGGCTGGGCTAGGGGGAGATGGAGAGAGAGAGATAGTGACCAGCAGGGCCAACAGAGGGAGCGCATTGCATTCTTTGAAACTATTTCTAGAAACATACAGACCTGAATGCAAATCCTGGTGTGCATCGAACAGTTCCTGAAACCTTTCTTCTGCTTTATATGCCCGAATGGTCCAAAGTCCCTGGAGAGAGGACGATAAATGGGAGAATACCGGACTCCGGCCTGGAGAAGCAGAAACAGAATGTCTGTGAGGCTGAATGTGGGGAAACCAGCTGCTTGCCATGCTCTGCAGCTACATATGGCCCAGAACACATCATAGCCAGAGCTCTGCGACAGGCTGCCTGGGGAGCAAGGAAGGATGATTCTCCTGGAAAGGAAAACACATGCCAACCCTCAACCTCCTGGTCACAACATGCTTCAGGTTAATGATTCGAAAATGGAAGTTTCTCTTGAACCTATCTTTGATCAAGTTTAAACCATGGCTAGATTCCCCTCAGACAGAGCCTCCTTCCATAACTCTTCCCTCACGGCCCTCTGGGGAGGAAACTGTTTGGTATACTCATTTTTGAGTAGTAATGTTCTTGAATTTAACTCTGCAAAGAGTACTCACCACACTGAATTATGACTGGTTGTCCATCTCCACCTTCAACTATTGACTTAAGGGCTGGGATAAAGTCAGCATATCCCTCAATATATAACAGGTGAGCGACTAGTAAGATAATTAGCCAGCCAACCATCTCCCCATGCCTGCTGTTGCGCCAAGAGTCTCCAGGGATAGTGGACACCCTGGGTATTGCACTGCGCTTTTGTGCCCACAGGTCCTGTGCAGCCATGTCTTGGCTTTGGGGGGGAGAAGCTGCCCTGCTAGACTAGACACATGGTGTTTGGAGGTCACTGTGTGACACAAATGCCACTCACTCATGTAGGACCTGACCACGAGTTGCCATTCCGTTCTGAATAATTTCATGTCGGTTTGGGGGCTGATGTCCTATGACCAGCCATCTATTTCCCTGCCATCTCTTCTAGGAGCTGACGGACTGTAAGCACCAGGGTCTGGCTCCTGCATATCAGTAAAGAGGTGGACTACAAGGCACTGGGCATCACGCAGGGGGCCTTGACCAGCTGCTCTTGTAAGGGGCACAGCTGTGAGCCTGGGACCTGCTCTGGAACGAGGGACTATTTGTGCTTTATCAGCAGGTAACACTGAGTGACTATGTTGTTGCCTCTGCATGTGCTAGAGAAGACATGTTAGTAAAAGCGCTCAGTGTACAGGGGAGGGCAGATCACTTATCTCATGAAAGGCTACAGGTGTTTTATAAAATGATGGGAAAAAATTCAGGGAAAACCTCAAAATAACTTTGGAGCCTGACTCCTCAGCCTAGCATCCGAAGGCTGTGTGAGGCTGCAGTCCGTACTTTTGTGCGTGTGGATACTGCATTTGCGGAGGGGATGCTGGGTACAAATGTAGAGACACAGAACCTCCTCTCAGAGTTTAGAGCCCAAGGCTCTTCAAGCAGGGAAGGAGAAGGCTTTCCCATGGAAGATGGGAAGCGCTGGGCTGTGGGCCTCTTTCCTGACTGGCCCATCTGACCAGGGACATGCCTATAATGCTGTTTTAAGGAAAAAACCTTCTTTTAACATAGCCATGACCTAACATTTCCCCTTGTATCTACTTTAGACAAAGAGCCTTCAGTGACTTGGTGGCAGTTAGGATGGTCTAGTTGTACATTTGTGCTCTAGCATCCGCACAATCCTCTCTGATTATACTGGGTAACCTTTAGCTTCAATGCATTCTAGCTTCCTTTAAACTTGTACTTTTAGGGAATGAATTCATGCTCCAAATAAGAAAGTCTAAAAGCTCTGAACAGGCCTTCTTGGCACTCCTCAGCACATGTCCAAATTGGCCCCAGAAAACATAGTCAATGTGGAAAAAGGGTGCTTACCAGGAGGACTCAGGAGAGTTCCAGGCCCATGACCCAATCAAAAAAGTGCCACAAAGCCAGCTCCAGAAAGCACAGAGAACTGAATAAGAACCATGTTCTCAATTCTTGACCAAAAGAAGGGACATGAAAAGTCTAACTACAAATAGCATTTCTGAGAAGGAAGGAATATGTGGCTATTCACTCCAGTAGAGTCCTTGAATGAAATGCTTCAGTGTGGCCATCCTAACTGGCTTCCCTCATGAGATTAAGGTTGTGGTTGATCTCCTCCAGTAGGGTTTCGGGGTAGGGTTGACTTCAGAAATCAGGGATTGTCCCAGCCTTGAATACCAGGGAACTCAGAGAATGCATCACTGACTATACCTCCGAACCAAGAGTGACAGTAGGACAGCAGGAATCTGTACCTGGTAAAAACTATCTTGTTTCCTTTACACCCCACTTAGGATTGAACAGGATGCTAGGATAAGTAAACTGAAGTCTTTCAAAGAAAATTAACTGGCACAGAGGATAATGGAGTGCTAAGCCTCTGGTATATTATTCTCTTGCCCAATACAATGTCTTCTTCCTCAAAATGACAGCTGCCTATCCTGAAGTAGATGGCTACAGTACCCATGGCATTAGCCGGAAGTGACAATCAAATGCAATTGTACATTTCACAAGAATGACAGCTATGTGTCCCAAGGCCCTGAGGACTCTATGGGATTGCAAACCCTCCCCAAGAGAAAGAGGGCAGGGAACTGCCACTAGGACCTAGTCAACATCCCCGCTATAGGTTAACATATATGTTAGGTGAGGCCTGCTGATAGTTATGTTCTTAATTCTTCAAGGGTCTAGCATCTTTCCAAGTGGCCAGAAGAACTTTAGAAACAGCAACTCAAATGATCCTCATGATGGCCTCGGAGGGCAAGGGCTATTATATATTAGAGGACAAAGTAGGCAGTGAGATGAGGATCACTGGCTAAAATGAAGTGAATTAACCCCAACTGATAGAACTGGGGGTCTGACCCAGCTCTTACTCCCAAGGCTGTGCTTTTCAATCACTGCCACAGTGTTTCAGAGGAGGAATAATCAGGTTAAATCAAGATGCCAACCTGTGACTAAATGCAGTTTTCTCCAGGCTTTGCAGTTTACATTTAGGAAACCCCAAAATCCTACTTACTGCATATCCAGCAGCCGTATCCATTATTGGACCGGTTATCAATGACCTTTAGTTGAAAAAAGTCCCTAGAAATATGGCATGAGAACACCAGCTGACTTGAGCTTCTATGGTCTGCAACAGTTAGCACATGGTTAGCCATCCCCTGCAATGAGCACTGTAGACATTACTAGTTGATCCGTTCCTTACACACAGAATGTGGATGTGGCCTCATAGACCAGGCAGTGCCAAATGATGACAGCTAGCCTGAAATATGCAATCAAGCAGATCCGGGATTTATGGACTGCTCTATGACTGAATTGTGCTACTATACTCACTTTTGGAAAAAAGGGAAACCACTATCATCAAGTGTACATTTGTCATTAAAGTGGCTTAAAGGTTGGCCTGAGGTTTCAGAAGCATCTAGGCAGTATGAACTGAAAATCATCCTCAGAACTACAACAGTCCTTTCAAAACGCAAGGAGGAAGCAGATTTATGCCTTGTAGCCACAGCAATCGGGGATTCCCACTTTCATCCTCTATTTTGCTGGTGGGTCCAGTAGTGGCCTCAAGAAATACTATCACTTACTGCTTAGAGAAAACAAGAGAATTGTTATTTACAGCACAGATTGATAAGCCAAATAGAGGACAACAGTTCTACTCAACCGGCCACGAACATTTGGTTATCTGGGTGCATGGAGGAAAGAATATCGTATTTAATGTATTGTTGTAGCTTACTGGGGTGCAGGAATATTCAACAATATTTCCAAATATTCTACAGTGGCCAGGCTAATGTTCTCAAAATCTCAAGATGAAGCCCTGGGAAAATCCTATGTTGTTTCCTGGAAAAGCACTCAGGAAGTCCACTTCTCTCCATTTCCAAATGGATGGGAAGGGGCCCTTGTCCCAGGCAAAAATCTCTTACTCGAGAGAGGTCACCTTAATAAACCAGATAATGCGTTTGCAACAAGATTGATGATGACAGATTCCATTTCATGAGAGACCTCCAGTACAATAGGTATGAAACCGTGGTGTCTACATTAGAGACTGACGAGAATGGGGATTCCTCCAAGTCCTGCCATGGTAACATCACATCAGCAGGATGGTCCACACATCTGCACTACACTGTGCTGCCACGCCAAGGAAACACACCTGAACAGGAAGTGGCTTAGCTGGTTCTCTGAGGACTAAAAAATTATCCTATAGCTTTTGTGAAATTGATACCCATTGTCCTTTATGCAAGTATTTATGATAAATTCCTCTTAAAAACTTATTATTCAGGATGCCCGGGTGGTTCAGGGGTTGAGTGTTTTCCCTCACCTCAGGGCGTGATCTCAGGATCCAGGATCAACTCTTATATCCAGCTCCCTGTGGGGAGCAGACTTCTCCCTCTCTCTATGCCTCTGCCTTCCTCTCTGTGTCTCTCATGAATAAATAAATAAATTTAAAATAAATTAAAATAAATTTAAAATTATTATTCATCAGAACGGGGTGGTACAGTCTGTTAAGCATCCAACTCTTGATTTCAGCACAGGTCAAGATCTCGGGGCCATTAGATCAAGCCCTGTGTTGGGTTTCAAATTCAGTGAGGAGCGTGTGCGCGCGCTCTCTCTCTCTCTCTCTCTCTCTCTCCTCCTCCTCCCTCCCCCAAACCACGCAAGCTAAACAAACAAAACTTATTTAAAAAGAAACACACATGTAATAACAAAAAAACAAAACAAAACAAAAACTCCTGTGTCCTGATGGATCTGTATTTTTCCACTTGGCAGATTGAAGAACAATGAGACACAACAGGTTTCTCTTCTAGGGTTGGTTTCCAGAAAGCTAAGATGGTATTAATTGGCAATAAAGGGGCACTGGAGTGGATCAGTGGATTAAGCATCTGCACTCAGCTCAGGTCATGATCCCGGGATCTGGAATTGAGCCCCAAATCAGGAACCCTGCTTAGTGAGTGGGGAGCCTGCTACTCCCTCTGCCCCTCCCTACCACTCCTGCTTGCTCGCGCTCTCTCTCCCTCAAATAAATAAATAAATTTTTTTAAAATTTACACTATCCATAGCTAAGATTTCTGATACAAATATCTTTTTTTGATGGTTAGGTCTTTATAACCTTTTTCTTAAAATATAGCAATCTGAGAATAATTAGCATTTGTTTTATTCATAATGAAATATGATGGTGCAGCAATGAGATAAGCTCTGAATTACCTCATCCTCTATGATTAACCATGTTTTCCCATTATTCCAAAATTAAAAGTTGAATAGAAAACACAATAAATGTATACTGAACAGTACGCTCTCCAGTGTCCTCCTAAGGGAATTATATTCAGGATCCAATTATAGGAATAGCCTAAGCCGGGGCCGGGGACACCGGGACAGGACGACACGACTTCAAACATGGTGCCATGACCGGAAATACTAGTGATAATAAAGAGGAAAACTGAAATAACAGTGCTGATCTTTTCAGAATATTAAACAACCACAACTTTTTTTGAGTATGTGATAGTAATATATTCTTGGAATGTATCACTTCTGACATAGGACACAGTCTTCTCCTTTCCCTAATCTTTTCCTTTCTTCGCCATTTCTAGAACCTTCCATGGAAGAAATGTTCCATATTTTCCCTCTATATTAGTTTGAAATATTGAACATGGAATATTTCTTTAGAAACATTTATTGAGTGCCTGCTCTATGTTAGGAAGTCTGTCGTGAAAAAGAAATGGGCCCTCTCTCCACAGTGCTCACATTCCACAGGAGCTTTATTGCACAGATGGACATCCTTTGTCCTTTCTTGTGCTACCCTACAGGCTGCAAGTGGCAGGCCACCAGTTCCATTTGCCCTAAGGGCCCCACTGAATCATGGTGGCCATAATATGCCACTGATTATTTAACATTAACTTGGAGAAAATACCTGGAAGAAAGAATTTACACCGTTTCAGGAGTCTCCTTAATTACACCATAAATGGAAGTGAGCCCACAAAGCCATCCCAACCTCAGAGCCTATGTACTCACTTGTAGACTCCAAGCGTTTGACATCCCTCGACGTTGCTAAGAAATATCGCCGAAGAACGAAGAAAATGATGGCAAGGGGAAGCAGAGGTATTGCGATCCAAGGAATCACCGCCACTGCCACACCAACAACACCAAGAACTTGCAGAAATGTCTGAAATAGCACAAACATATACAGAGGCCTTCTTATGAAGAATTCCATTCAAACGTAGACTTTACTTCTTCTTCTTCTTTTTTTTTTTTAATTTATGATAGTCACAGAGAGAGAGAGGCAGAGACATAGGCAGAGGGAGAAGCAGGCTCCATGCACCGGGAGCCCGATGTGGGATTCGATCCCAGGTCTCCAGGATCGTGCCCTGGGCCAAAGGCAGGCGCCGAACCGCTGCGCCACCCAGGGATCCCCAAACATAGACTTTAATGGGTTGTCTTGTTAGGATTCAACTCCTTTGTTGCAAAAAATTTGGGAATGGCAGGGAATGCATTGCCATCAAAGAAATAATAGAATTTTATCGGTGGCTCCAATGATATTTATTACATACTTGCAATGAGTCAAACACAATAAAAACTTTCTAGGGGCAGCCTGGGTGGCTTAGTGGTTTGCGCCGCCTTCAGCCCAGGACATGATCCTGGAGTCCCGGGATCGAGTCCTACCTTGGGCTCCCTGCATGGATCCTGATTCTCCCTCTGCCTGTGTGTCTGCCTCTCTTTCTCTGTCTCTCATGAATAAATAAATAAATAAAATCTTTAAAAAAAAATTCTAGATATCCCTTCTATTGAAATGCTTAGTCGCCCTAGGAGAGACCAGTACCATCTTCCCTATTTAACGGATGAGGAAGTCTGAGACTCAGAACAGTAACTGATTCCCAAACTAACATGAGTCATTAGATATTATCAGAGAAATCAGCCAGTGGACATCACAGATGAGGAATCCAGAAGACTCAAGTAGATACTTAGGGATAAAGAAGAAGTGGCTAATTACTAATTCATTAGAAAACTTTAAGGGTTTACCTTTTAAAGTGGCGATTCTTCTTTCTTGGTTTTCTATTTGCAATTAACATTTACTGAGTGCTCACTGTGTATAAGACTACCCATTATATATTTCACATGTATTAACTCATTTAACCCTCAAAGTCCTATGGAATACCAGTATTATCTCATTTTACAGATGGGGAATGAAGCCTAGAGGGAGGTAAAGCAACTTGATCAAGACTGCAAGGCAGAAATCTCAGAGCCCAGGGAGCCTGTCATTAGCCATCATGATAGGTTTCAGCTTGTCCTCAATATGACGTTCACTGTATATTGCTCAGGAAAATATTCTTGACTTATTTGAGCCCCTTAATATGTCCTTAATTTCTCCTCTAAAAACCCTACTTAAGGAATTTCAGAGTTTATCAGCATGCCTAACATAAAGAACAAAGAACAGAAATACAATGCAACAAATGTTTGATATTTCTTAAAAACCTACTGAAAAGACTTGATAAGGACACACAATACCTAAAAAAAATTTTTTTAAGTTTTATCATCTGGGCCAACACACACATGAAAAAATGCTGGACATTACTAATCATGAGGGAAATGCAAATCAAAATCCACAATGAGGCATCATCTTCTACCATTCAGAATGGCTACTATCAAAACAGCACGAAATTACAAGTATTGGCGAGGATGTGGAGAAAAGGGAACTCCCATGTACCACTGGTGAGAATATAAACTGATACAGCCATTGTGGAAAATAGAATGCAAGTTCTTCAAAATATTAAAAATAGAAACACCATGTAATCCAGCAACTCCACTAACTGGGTACTTACCCCACAAAAAGGAAAACATTAACTTCAAAAAGATATATGCACCATTATATTTACCACAGCAGTATTTCCAATAGCCAAGATACAGAAGCAGCCCAAATGTCCATCAATAGGTGAATCAAAAAAGAGTAAGATCTTGCCATTTGTGCCAATATAGATATACCTCACGGGCATTATGCTATTTGAAATTAAGTCAGACAAAACCAAATACCATATGACTTTGCTTATATGTGGAATCTAAAAATGAAACAAACAAAAAGTAGAAACAGACTCATAAATACAGTTATCTGATGGCTGCCTGAGGGGAAGAGGTTGAGGGTTGGGCAAAATGGATGAAGGGTAGTGGCAGGTACAAGATTCCAATTAAGAATGAATAAGTCACAGGGATGAAAGTTGTAGCATACGGAATATAGTCAATGGTTCTGTAATATTGTTGTGTGGTGACAAATGTTCCCAAACATGTGAGCACATGGGTTAAGTATAGAGTAGAAGAATCACTATATTATTGTACACATAAAACTAATGTAAGACTGCATGTCAAGTATAGAAAATTAAAAAAAAAAGGCTGATCCTCGATGCCTCATTTTTGCAGGACAAGACTTCATATTTCTAAAATAAATATTCCAAATGAAAATAAGACAAAAAAATGGTTTTACTTCCAAAACAACACTAAATTTTGTCATCTGTACATTAAATTTTCTATCATTAGGATAAATACTTAAAACAACTATTTAAAGGCTAATGATGACAACAATAGCAGGTGCCATGTGTCAGGTGTGGAGTTCTATGCACATGACTTTAGTCCCATGAGGTAGTTTTATCTTGAGAAATGATATTGGTCTAATAAAAAAAATCAAGCAGCATAGAAAGCTAAGTCACTGGATGATGCTAACTGAAGTATCCATCATTCTCAGGAAATGTATAGTATGGTATCATGGTATGTAACTTCAGGTGATAGGAAAGCAATCAACACATTGCATATGCCTGCTAGGACAGTGGGGTCATTGAGTAGTATGACTGGGCACATTCACAGAGTATGGGCCAAGGTCTCCCATGTTTGTGAACTCAGATGTATATAACCGCAGGACAATGTGCACAAGGCACAGAGGACTGTAGAAAGACAGGAAAGAATCCATGAATACTTTTTAGAAGGTTCTGCAACTTACAACTGAATTTCACAGGCTAGTTTAACAAACAAAGAGCAGTGAAGAATAACTTGCAGTACCAGTTACAGTACACATACACACTGCCCAAGAGGAAGCCATGCTGCAAAGCTTAACACAGGTTGGCCTGTGACCTTTCAGAAAGTGAGGGCCCAGTGCCCTCGTGATGGCACCAGTCAGGGCAGTGGGACCCAGGGAGTCCCCAAGGAAAGGGTTAACAGGCTAATGCCTGACAGAGACACAGGTTATCATCTCACAGCTATTTCAAATCAGTTTTCTCAGAGCATCCTCACAACCAGCTTATGAATGGGAAAAGTAGGAACTGTCATTTCCATTTACAGATAAGGGATATGAAAGACGGGAGGTTAAATGGTGGTCCCAAATTCTCCTGGGATATTTGCTGTGTTATGGAGAAAGTCAGGAGCAGTGCCTGTGCAAAGAATCATGCAAGCAAGAGGAGCGGAGGAAAGAGGAAACTTCTAGAACTCTGAATCTATGGACAGAAACCCCAGTGAAACAAACTGCATAATTTTGATGTAGACTCATGTGCAATTTTACAATTTCTGCCACTTTCTACTATAGTATATATACAAACCCCAAAGTAAAGATGCATGGAATTCTAAAGGAACAGAATCCAATCACGAATGGAGAAAACAGGGCTGTCCGGTCTCTCTCCCTTTATACCCACAGATGACGAATTTCTTACAGCTACTGGATTAACCTTCCTACACCAATTAGGAAGCCAAGCTTCTTCCTTCATGCTCATGAGGAGGGGTCCTTCCATTTCTTTCAATATCTCATATTAAATAATCACTAGGCTAGCCCCTAATAGTTGCTGAGAGAAAAAAAAATCTGAAATCATGTTAATCATGAAAAAATTCAAATTTACAATTTTTTCAGCCAAATAACATCTTTTGGTTGAACAATATTCACCAGTTTCAATTATCTGGCTCTCCCTAAGGTGAGGATCTCTTATGTCTAACCTATTACCTGGGCAGCAGAGGTAAGTTCAAAACACAGGGCTCTCTTTCCTTGGGTACCCATTAAAGAGCCAGTAAACGCTATTCTCAGAAACTCTCAATGTAGGTCTTTCAGATATGATGTCCCCAAATCCTGAAGCAATTCAAAGATGCTTTCTGAAAGAGTTTTCTTTCTACTTGTGGGTCATGCCTCACAGTGAATTAGTTGTTATATGATACTGGGGAAAAAAAATACACTGTATACAGATTTACATTTATACACATGCATCTATAGATATATGTGAATCTTTTACCACTAGCAAATGTTTTTAAGTACTCTCTATACCCAATTTGGGGATCAAAGTCATGACCTGGAGATCAAGAGTCACATGCTCTACTACATGAACCAGCCAGGCAACCCCTGCAGCCAAACTCTTTAGGGAAGTTGACAAAGGACAAAAACTGTATTCACACAAAAAATCTAATATTCTGAAGGGGAAACAAAAGATTCTGGTACAAAAGAAATACCTATCCTTTCCTTGAAGCCAATCTCATTTCTTCCTTCCATATTTTCAGACTCCAAGGAGTCTAATCCAAGGTACACACTCCCTTCCACCCATCTGATTAGATTCCAAGCCCATGTGATGACCAACCCGCCGAGTCACTGCCTCTGCACCTCTTATCAAACAAAGGCACAGAAAGACAATAATATATACACAGCAAGAAACATCTTGACTCAGAAGCAAGTGACTCACGTCTTGATGCCCAAGATCTAAAGTTGATCATTATTTTGATATGCTTGCATCCCAACTGGAACGTAGCAGTTAGGAATTTGACTTGAAATCTATGAACCCACATGAACAAGTATAAACAATATTTGTATGAAATCATTCACTTGAGAAGACACACAACATTTTCTAATTCTGATCTGAGGCTTACAGAGAATATCAACCTAGACCAGGAAAGGAACAGCATTAACCTAGCACTATGCTATTTGACAGGGTCTAGGACCAGCCCTCCTGAACATTAACAAGAAAGGTAACATATTTCACCATTTCATCTTTACTGGGATACCTCACCAACATAAAAGGCTGAGGGGACGTAGTGAAAATTAAATGAGAGCAAGTCTATGAAGTGGTCAGCTGTCTGAGCTTAGAGAAAAAAACATCCTAAGTACCATTATCATTACCCTTCAGCCTGCTCTGGATGCCAGGGGCAAGAAGAGAA